ACCAAAGTGCAAACAATGACGATCGGAAGTCCTGTTACGCAACAAATGATTCCATCATACAATGCAGGCCACACATCAGCGATCTTCACTGATGTTGTGACAACGGCTAGCACCCCCGTTACCGGTTCCATTGACCTCGCCTTTCTAACATGTTCTTGGATCGTTATCTTGAGACCACCATAATTCCAAGGGTGCGTTCTGAATATCCCTCAGATGCACAGGTCTCAAGACAAACCCCAACGGTTCAAAACGTTCCACCACCACCAACCCAACCACAACAGACATCACCATCTCCATACCTACCTCTGAACCATCCACCCAATAACCACCTACACCTACCACCTCAAGGGGAACCCGGGATCTGAAAGTGTGTCCTCCCTTATCTCGACCACACCCTATCCTAACCCTAACACCATGTCATTAGATGACCTTACCCCAATCATGTTGGCCTGATTCCTCTCAGAAGAAGACAAACTCAACCCAGATAAACTCACCATTCTCCGTCTTCTTCAGACCCAAAGCACATGGCGTGAGTCTCCGCGGTAACAAACGTTCACATGAGGACCTCGGTGACTCGGCTCCTCATGAGGGGGAGAACAAACAGCATCGGACACTTGAGCATGATGCTTCCACAAGCCACATCCAACCGCAGCCAAACCAACCCTCCTCCTCAACCAACCAACAACCAACATCCTCTACCCAACACAAAACCCAAACCTCTAACCCCATAGCCTCTAGCCCGGTGGAGCTAGACAAGACACTCTGAGGCGCATCCTTTGTAAATGTTGACCAAGAATGGAGTGGAAGTCCTGAGGTTTCTACTTCTAGTACATCCGTTTATTCAGGCCATTAGTCAGAACCTAGTTCGAAGCTGATGATATCGGGCAATCCAAGTGATCCTGATTCTACCTCTAACAGGTTACCACAACAGCAATAAGCCTCCTCTACCCTTCTAGTCCCATGCATCCACAATCAACTTAAAGACATTCTCCTTGGCGAAAAATGGAACAGTGTATGGGCGGAATGGGATGACCTTAGACAAGAGGTTGAGCAATACGATATGCAAAGAAGTTGGTACATTAAAGAGCTGTTTACCAAATGTGTTGCTGACATCATTGGCCTTGATGAAGATGAAATCAAAGAAGGGGAGAACTATAATGAAGCTCCTGTTGAGCTACCCAAGGTGATCAGACGAACAAGAACTCTGCCACCTAAGAATGAGAAGCCTTGGGAAAACATCTGAATAACTACCACCCTTCCAAGAGAAAATCCGAAAGCATATATGGTGAAGACCGCAGAAGATTATGTGACTTGATGAATTGAAAGCCTTGCATATATCATCCAAACTCGACCTTCCAACAACGTATACTGTTTTCCTCTAGGTCAAATCGGATTAGAATGTGTTTCTTTGCCAACAAACATAGTTGAAAATCTCCTTTAAAAAAGATCTAGTCAAAAGCCTTGCGTAGATTTTCCATATCCTATCAAAGCACATTGATGCTTGGCAACCAATTGGATATCGGCATCCGAGAGAGTAATCGCAAGCATACCTTTGCAACGGGATGCAGTCACAAAAACTAGTGGTGGACCTGGTTCGGGCCGCCCGGCCCGAGACTGGCCCGGACCGTTACTGTGCGGGCCCGGAACCGGCCCGGTTCTCGGGTCCGGGTCCGGATCGGGCACCGAAACGGTGGGGAATCTGTTACCCTTATGTTCCCCCACTGATGCCATGACGTTGAAATCACCCCCTATTAACCAAGGTTCTTGATTGCTCAAATTCCAGTCCCTTAAATCCTTCCACAACTGGTATCTTTGTTGTCTTGTGTGTTTCCCGTACACACTGGAAAGCCAAAAGGAGAAACCAGTTTTAATCACCTTCACTTTAGTATGAACGACCTGATCTTTCTGAATGAATTGATCAATTTCAACACTGTCATCCCTCCAAAGTACCTAGACTTTGTTGTCATCCTTTGTAAAAACTTGGTTAAAGCCCAATTTGGTTTTATAGTAATCTGATTTGTCTGAAGCTACCATAGGTTCAGAAATGGTGATTAATGGTATGTTCCAGTGCCTTATCATATTGTGTAGCCTCCGGCACGAAGATTCGAGGCCACACGTGTTCCAATGGAGCACTATCATTGGCGGGTTGGTCGGGGCTTTGAGGCCCCAGAACTCAGGGTAAGTCTTGTTGACGAGCGTGCAGAAACATTTTTTAAGGGATAGCTTTTAGCAGTAGTTTTTTTCTTTGAGGATTGGATTAATGAGTCCTTGTAAGGTTCTGTTGTTGCCAAAGCCAGTTTCCTACCGATAGAGGAGGAGATCGTTTTCCGATCTCCCCCACCATCAACTTTGGAGACTGCTTTATCTTCCTCCGAACAGTGCCCTTCTTCCACTGTTGTGAATACTGGATCCCCGGCCTTATAAGGAGGGTCGTCCAGATGTTGGTGTAATGAGATAATTGGGATGACCCCCATGTGAAAGATAAGGTTTGTGTCCGTAGGTTGCTTGATACCATCACCCAGGAGTTGTTCTAAGTCATTAGGTTGCTGATCAGCTTGGGATTGGTTTGAGGTTGCAGGGGTGTGGTTATAGGGTGGTGTAGGGCAAGATGTGTTAGGGGCATTAGGTGTAGAGTTATGTATGATTGTCGTGTGTTCTAGGGTGGAGGTGTCTAGTAGGGAGTCTGGGGTTAGGGAAGAAGAGGGTTCAGGGTAGGGGTCGGTTGTTTCGTGAATTATGGGTGATTGGATTAGGGTGGTGCTTGGGGTTTGGTTGAGGGATGGAATAAGATTGGGGTCTAGGGTGTCTATATTAGGTGGTTCACACATGTGTTGTGTATTGGCTGTGTTTGGTATGGGAGGTGGGTTTTCAGAGTGAGATGTGGATTGATTGGGGGATGAATTAGGGATGGGGGTTAGGGAAGGAGTTGGTTCAGAGGAGGGGACGGTCGTTGCGGGTATTATTGGTATGGACGTTTGGTTTAGGGTGATGCTTGGGTTTTGGCTGGGGATTATTAGGATAAGATTGGTGCCAAATATGTGTGTATTCGTTGGTTCAGACACGGAGAAAGCTGTGTCGGGTATTATTGGTGTCTTAGGTGGATTTTTGGAATGACTTGCGGCTTGATTGGGGGTTGATTTGTGGATGGGGACCCAGGTTTGAGTTTTGCCTCCAGTCTTTTTTACGGTTAGGCCCGACGCATTCGGCTCGGTGGAATTTGACCCTTCTTCCAAAGTGGAAATTGGATTTTTACCCTTATTACAAGTGTAGTGTCCCAAGATTGAACATGAAAAACAGTAGGGGTAGTAAATTCGTAATTTACCTCTTGGGTAAATCCTCCCTGTCCAGTCTGGATCCAGACTTTGTACGTTCTCTCTGTGGTGACGTCCATCTCCACACAGATCCTTGGGTTGGAGGTCCTGTTTAGCCTGGCCGTAGCCACGTCTTCCATCAATGGTTTGGCGATGGAAAGGAGGGCCTTTCTATTCTGGAGATGAACCGGCAGTCCTGGAAAACTGATCCATGTTGGGGTTATGGGTGATTCTTTCCCCGGTTGAAAGTCGGTCGTCCATCTGGTAATTCGCACGCAATAGCCTGATACCAGCCAAGTTTCACCTAGCCAACAACGTTGGAAATCTTCTTCCCTTTCGAACATGATAAAGATTTGTCTTGGAGCTAGGGGACCGAGAGTGTAGTTGCCTTTGAACCTAAGTTTGTCAAAGGTACGTCGGACCATGGATAGTTTGGGAATCCCATACAGGAAAGTCCCAATTAGAGCATATGTAAGATCCTTGCCGAGGGAAAGGATTTCTTCATGTGAAAAGGATACTGCAGGAAGGCCGTTGATGACTGTTGTTGGTTTCAGTGGGATGGAGGGTGTGGTATGATTTAGTGCTTTAGCGTAGGTCGTTGTTGTTGTTGGACCAGAGGCGTTGTTTTGTTCAGGCATTCTGGGTGAGGTGGTTTTGTAGGCTGTGAGAGCGGCTTTGTACGAAATTGGCTTTCTGCCTCCGCCCACTACCTAAATTCTCAATTGGAGTTAAATTCACATTATAATAGTTTCAATTTATATTTGAACGAAAAAATAGTAGTTCAATCATTTAATTATAGTACTTTGTTCACACGGATATGGGATGCCAATAAAACATATGAAGTTCTGTGACAAAGGGAAAACAACAACCAACGGTGGCGGAATTTTTTAATAGGAATGTAGTTCGTGTTGTTATTAGAAAATGTATTTCGTATTGTTATTTTTTTCTGAATTCTCAAATGTAGTTCCTATTTCAAATAAATGCACTTCAACTTTGTTTTTAATAGGAATTTCTATAATCTGTAATAATTTTAAAAAAATATATTTTGAACCGGCCCGGCCCGGCGGGTGGCCCGACCCGTGACCCGGCCGGGTGGCCCAGCCCGAACTGGAACCGGCCATAGCCCGGACCGGTCCCAGGCCAACCTCTACCAGACCCGAGGCCCGACCGGGCCTTGGCCCGGCCCGGGTCCAGCACTAACAAAAACAAGAGGATTTTCTATGTGAAGGCGGCGGCACAATTACCGTATTCATGGAAAATCAACAAAGCTCTCCTTATGTTTACAATAAATTCAATGGGAGTGCAGTTACTTGCTTTCCTATATATGTTAATAAGTTACTTCTCATTGGCAACATAGTTTAGGATATGTTTCTCAATGATGTGGGGTCCAAAGTTCAAGTGCTAGGTTTGGAGTGACATGGTAGAAAAGTCTCTTTTAATTCGTGAATTACATGAATATTAATATTTAAACAATTACGGAGTATATAATAGGCATGTAAAAAAGCAAAATTACAAAAATTATGAAACCTTGGGATTATAGTACATTACTAATTTCATATTTGGGTTGAATCTGTCACATAATATCTAAACACGGGATCAAAACCATGCTTTTTAGTATTTTAAAAATCTCCAATCTAATTTAACCCAATTATCCTGGAACTCGACCCAAACTATAGAACCTTGGCTGGAGTCTGAATTCGCAATAAAATATAGGATTGCGCCAGAAAAGTGTCTACCCATGTTATAACTTGCATGTCATCCATGCAAACGACCCTTTAGAAAATTAAAAGAATAAACACGCTGATAATCTCTCAATGTTTTTTCCTATTTTACCTTATTCTTAAGGTTATAATGCATGATTAGTGCACAGATTCTTCAATCCAAATAAGATAAACAAACTAGTTATAATGCAGCATCTTTGCACCAACACAGATACAAACAACAATTTACTTCCTAACATTACAGATGAGGGCAGGGCAGAGATCCATCAGCTTTGGTTTTTGGTTTTAAAGGTTAGATGGCGGGTAATCCTTCCTATCATCCAAATTGAAGTGTTGAGAACCCCTAATTCCACTGTAACTTGGTAAGCTAAACCCCGGGGGCAACAGGGGCGAAGAATTCATCATAGATGATGATGATTGCTGCTGTATCCCTGAATGGGGCAGATCAAAAACCGGCAGAGTAAAGCATCTGTCCACTTGTGTGTAAGTAGGGGGGATAAATGGCTCCTGCTGCTGGCCATCACCACCTCTCCTGTGGTCTTGAGAATTCTCGCCTGCTGCCATCCCTCCAGTGAGTGTTTTCAGGGTGAAGTCCAAACATCGGTCTGTCCAGCAGTCCTCGCCTGCAAGATAGTGAGCTTGAGGATTCGGCAACGGTAAGTTCACATCAACTTCGTTGTTGCCACCTTCGTTGTGGGGTCTGCTGTAAATATTGGTTGTTGGCTTATTATTGGCACCATCAGAGTGATGAGGGATTGGGCCCATACACGTATTGACATCAATTCCACCAGAGTTCACAACAGAGGCTTGGATAATCTCTTCTTCACCGAGGCCCAGATCGGCCACCACTTTCTGGACTGGATCGTTCGGGCCCCATGATGAGTTGATGTCGATCCCACTGCTAGTCGGAATATAACCACATTCAAACCCAAGGTCTCCAAGGCCCAAATTGGAAACCAGGTTTTCAGAAGGATTACAGGAGGACGGGCTGAGAGCTGTATCAAGCTCTATTCTATCATGCTTGCCCAAATTTGCCACTTCTGTTTTGTGTTGTGCAAGTCTGTTTGAGACCCGACCGGGCATGGTCGGGCCCTTGTTGTTTGTGGACTTTCTTGTCTTTGTTTGGCCTGACTTAGGTGTTTGTTTTGTACGTGAATTTGTTCCAGAACCTTTGTTTGACCTTCGATGTGGAGGTTGTTTAACCGCATTTATTGCACCGACTGAATTGGCATTGATGAAATCGTAGGTGATGCTACGCATTCTTTTGTTTGAGCCTTCCGCGTGTACGGGTGGGGGTGGGCCCACCGCATCTCTAGGAGCAAAACTTTCTTTTATTTCAGACCCTGAACGTACACTGCCTTTCATTTCCTTCCCATCAAATAGTTGCTCTTTTGTCCAGGACTCAGATTCTTTTTCCTTGTCAGTATCTAGCTGATGAGTCTGGCAAAGTGGAAAGCTATTAATTATGGAGATGTTTGGGACATCCTTAGGCTATGTTTATAACGATGAATAAAATAAAGAAATAACAAATGCGAAACAGAACAGCAGACTCACAGATAAGTTGTTGGGAGTTGTTGATCCAAGGAACTTTTTAGTGGGCTTCATAATGCATTTGCGTATATCACCACTTTCTAAGTAGCGCAAAGCATCTTTCTTTGAACGAAAAACATACTCGCTGACAGGATCTATATAATACTGTTCAAGAAAAACAGATCATACTCATTAGAAAAGTAGGAGTGGAGGGTGCAGAAGAATTTTGTTTTTGACATGTTTGGTTTTGCCATAGAGAATACGAAGGAAAATCAAATTTGATTAAAAAATAAATAAATTACATTTATGAGTTTGAATAAATATTTAAAATTGATTTATTGAGTTTGAACCAATTTTCTATTTATACCCAAACTTTTACTCTATCTTCATCCATATTTTTTTCTCTAACATTTCATAGGTTCCAAAGGGACCCCAAAGAATAAAATCTTCAAGGAAATCCATTAAGCTTACTTTCCTGTGTTAACATGTAAACAATATGTGAGCGTGTTCAAAGGGACAAACATGGGTTTTCTGGTATTGCAATGTAATTGCCAAGTGCGATGTAAATGCGTGTAAGCACATGTGTGAAAGTAGAGGAAATACCGGGTCTTCCCTTATCCCCCCTGCCTGTGTAGTCCTAGTTCTGATTTCTTTTATCCACCCAGGTGGTAGCCCATTCAGTTCAGCATTTTGAACTCCAATCTACACAAAACAAACTGAAATTAGAAACTTTTCGTGCTGTAAAAATATTAAGATTGACAAATACAATTTGGCTCAATTCGGCAACTGTATTTCATAGCAGCACAATTTTGTGCTGAATAATCAGAATAAGAATAAGTAGTGTTTAGCTTTTACTTTTTAACCTGAAACAAATCTTACCAAATCTTACCAAAGAAAATTTAGCCAAATGACTCTTAACGAATGGGAAATTAGAGTATCTTGATCATATTAGGAAAGCAAATACCTCTGTAGGCGTAGACTTTTGCTGTTCAGAGATCTGAATGGGTTCCTCCACTGCTTCAACCGGTGTGTCATTTTGAGACTCTTTCAGTTTAGAGGCAAGTTCTTCCACAACGTCATGTTGGATCTGAGAACAAATCATATATGCAACTAATACAAGTAGTCGTATTCTTGGAGGATTACATAATTGTAGAAACAATCATCTATGGATATTGTTGGATATCCCACATAGGTTGCCTATCTAGTTTGAGTCTAGCATATATGTATGTGTTGAAATTCACCTTTAAATATCCTTTACATGTAAGTTAGACCCAATATAACAAGGTGCGGTATACCAGTGGTTTGTGGGGTCACTGCCCACTATGGTTTGAGGGTTAATTTGGGCCCATTTGTCCACATTTCAGTTATCCAATCCAGCTTGGGCTGCCCCGCTGGAGTGTTGAATATCTCATATCGGTTGTCTAATGGATTTAAATCTTTTAGTATATACCTCACTTCTTGTGAACCTCACATAAATGGGAAGTTATTCGACAAGGAGAAGTAACAAAAAATGGACAACCAAAAACAGAAGCTATCTTACAGGATTGTCCTTGATAGCTGACACTGGATCCCTTTTCATGGGCTTCATAACGCACTTGGCAATATCTCCTGTTTTTATATAGCGCAGTGCATCTTTTTTAGAACGAAATTCAAATCCACTCTCGAGGTGTATATAATACTGTCAATTTAAATTAAAAATATGTCAATATATGGGTTATTGTGTGAATATGTGTTGTGGAAATGAAAAATGTGTTCTTGAAGGGGAATCTAAATTTACTGGGTCTCTTTTTATCCCTGTTCCAAATCTTTGTGCTCTTTTTCTGGTTCTGAATTCTCTTATCCACCCTGGTGGCAACCCATCAACCTCATCGGCTAGAACTGAAAACTGCATATTCAAACTAGAAAATGTTGAGAGAGAGAGAGAGAATATTGAGGACATTATTTAAGAAGCAACCTTTGAAGTGCGCTTGCCAATGCCAGATCTCTTTTTTTTGGATAAGACACATTTGGCATTCAGTGCTTTTTTATTGCGGGGCACTCTTGGTTTAGGTGAAGAGTTTTCATTGGCATGCTGAAAAAAGGAAACAGATGCAATAAGTCACTTGTGCTAATTGTCTGTTCTCTTTTTATTATTAAAAGTTCAGTTTGGCAATTTCAATTCAGCAAAATAGTCACATCGCCACCAGTTTACTTGCAAATTTTAAATTGTCTGGCTTCAGCTCTATGTATTGACATGTTAAAATAACGAATCCATACTGTCAAAAAAAAACTGATGGTCTGATGGGACTAGTTTTGCCAACCCTCTATAGTTAGGAGACCAGTAATGGATATCACCCTCATAAGACAGTCTATTATTCTATACGAATACATACAGACAAAAATCATAACCAACTAACCATAATCTAGTCTAGTATATAAGGCAAAAGATGAAACTCACTGATGTATCACTCAAAGTTGATCCCAGATCCTTTTTGAGAGGCTTCATAACACACTTTTGAATATCACCTGTTTCTATGTAACGCCAAACATCTTTTTTGGACCGAAAAATATAGCCGCTGACCGGGTCTGTATAAAACTGTGAAAAGCAAGAAATGGTCAGCATATTGTCACAGACTTCCTCCCATGCCAGTATGCCCTACAATACTTATTTAAGGTTAGACATATTTGTTTGGGCAACTTTTCTTCTAGTTTGCATTTTTTTGACAGTGCATGTCTGCCATGCAAAGTTAAAGTGTTTGTTTTCTTTTGGGATATGTTAGGAACTTGGAAAGAAATATAGATGCTGACCAGATATGTATAAAAGATGTTGAAAACAAGAAACAGTCACCATATGCTCTAGAATGTTTATTTAAGGTTAGACATATTTTTGGACAACTTTTTTTCTAGTTTGTATTTCTTTGAAAGTGCATGCAGGTCAAGCAATGTGAGTGTGCTTGTTTGTTTTCATTTAGGATATGTTTGGATCTTGGAAAGTGCTAGGGAAACGAGAAAATATGTCAAGGCAAGTTACAAATTGACAAGGACCCGGCACTACTACTAATAAGAATAATATTAAGTTTCTAATATTGTACAATAAGAGGGTTCTAGGCCCGGTAACTAAGTATTTGAGGGTCAGTTCTCAAGGAGTAGTACAAATAGAAGAGGAGTGAGAAACAAAAAGGGAGGCAGAATATTAGTTGGAACTGGGCTGGGAGAGTGAGGCCTCTCGAAGAGTCTCAACACTGTTCGTCTTCTTACTTTTCTTCCGTTACTTTGTAAATTTCCTAAGGATATCTGAGGAGATCTCAGAATCCTTTGTTCAATATACATATAATTGTCTGCTTGTGTACGATGCCCTAACAATGGTATTAGAGCTGACGAAACTGCGACACGGTGGATGACATTTACGTGAGCTCAGATGGAGAATCGGATGGAAAATCTGGAACATAACTTGGCTGAGATGCGTTCAGCAGCGGACGAGTTGCGCGACATGCACGCGATGATGGACGAGATGCAGAATATGATGCTGCGAAACGATCGACGGAGAAGCAGAGGTCAATCAAGGACCTCCATACATCATCACCTATTGGAGAGCGTGAACTCTTCTCATACCAGAGGTAAGCCTAACAGCTCTCAAATTTCTTCACCCAATCATGAAACCACAGTAAACAGAGGCTACGGCCATACTGGAAGAAAGGAAGACCTACCTCTGTTCAATGGTGAAGATGCGAATGGCTGGGAATGGCTGGATAATCAGCGTAGAAAGGTTTTTCCGACTTAATCAAATCACTGAGGGAGAGAAGGTGGATATGGTGATAGTCGCATTGGAGGACAAGGCTCTAAACTGGTTCCAATGGTGGGAGGAACAGTCTACTGTCCCCACATGGGAAAATTTCAAGGAGGCTGTGATTCGGAGATTCCAGCCTGAGATGGTACAAAACCCTTTTGGGTCGATGCTTAGCGTGAGACAGACAGGATCAGTCATGGAGTCGTCGTCATCATCATTATTACCCCAGCGCCGCAAAGGCTCCCACCGTAGGTGGGGTAAAGGGGGGGTCGGATAAACGCAGCCTTACCCCTGTACTAAAGTACAGAGAGACTGTTTCCGGATGACCCAAAGTGAAAATCGCATCGAAAATTGGATAGACTGACTGCTACTTCATAACAAAGAAGCGCAGACATTTTAGTAAGCCATTTTGCTTTATTCCATCATATTCCCAAGCCAAAAAATAGTGAGTCTTTGGCTCCATTGCAAATGATGGAAAAAGGATCAGTCATGGAGTATGTGGATCAATTCAAACTGGTGGTAGCTCCTCTCCGAAGTACTGACAATGAAATGCTTAAAGGCATTTTTATCAATGGCCTTGAGGAGGAGATCAAAGCAGAACTCAAAATGTATCCTGCACAGAGTATGGCCGACCTTATAGATCGTGGTCTGTTACTGAAAGAAACGAATGCGGCTCTGAGAATAAGAGGAAGCAGGGATGAAGACAAGAGAGTATGGAAGGAAAAGGGGGGAACTGTATCCAAGCCTCAGCAGTGGATCGAAGGGAACTGGTGGAGGCATGACCAAAAATAATACCAGCCTCACTGAGAAGGTTTCTGCCGATATTAAAACAAAGGAAGCACCAATAATATGAACCAAAGAAAGAAGTAGAAAGGGCCTATGCTTCAAATGTGGAGACAAATGGAGTAAAGAACATGTTTGTGGAATAAAACATTATCAATTTGTCCTGATGGAAGATCTAGAAGAAGAGAAGGACCAAATGATCGGCAGTATGAACTGGAGTCTGGATGTAGCAGAAAAGCCGCTGAAACCAAATGCCAGATCAGTTTCTTACTACCCACCTTGAGGACAAGGTGGGAGAGTGATTTCAAGGACATGGACACTACTACTAATAAGAAAAATATTAAGTAGTCTAATATTGTACAATAAGAGGATTCTAGGCGCGGTAACTAAGTATTTGAGGGCCGGTTATTAAGGAGTGGTGTAAATAGAAGAGGAGAGAGGAATAAAAAGGGAGGCAGAAAATTAGTTGGGAACTGGGCTGGACAGAAAAGTGAGGCCTCTCAAAGAGTCTCTACACTGTTCGTCTTCTTACTTTTCTTCCGTTACTTTGTAAATTTCCTAAGGATATCTGAAGAGATCTTAGAATCCTTCGTTCAATATACATGTAATCGTCTGCCTGTGTACGGTACCCTAACACAAATACTTTCTTATGTTTGACATTATCCTTGAAAGGGCAAAAGAAAGTCGAAGTTGATTATTTTTAATATTCCTTTTACATTTATTTAGACCTCTTAGTTTTCATATATACAAATAAGTAAATAAACAAATTGACTATGGGCAAATAACCCAAAAAATATTTTTAAGCCAATTTTAATTCCCTTCAGATTTTTCTCGTTTTTCCTCCCTGTTTTCTCTAGTATTTTCCACGTTCCAAATGGACCCCTTAAAAAAGGAAACACACCGGGTCCTTCTTCCCACTTGCATCTCTTCTTGTTACGTATTCCTTTATCCAGCCTGGTGGTAACTCGTCAACCACATCATTTTGAAGTGCAGCCTGCATTACTTTTAAAGATTAGAAACTTATAGGGATAACAGTAATTATATAATTGAATAATTGAATAATTGAATAATAACTAAAAGAAATATTTTAAAAACAAAAAAATGTCCTGGAGGATTACAGAATAAACTATCTCTGTGGGGATCTTCTTCATGCCAGATTTCTGTTTTATGGGTGGTCTTGCCAGCTGGCCATTGTCCTCTATAGTTGTCTTGTTTTGAGATTCTCCCAGATTAGAAGATGAATCTTCTATGTTAGGCTGATACATTGAAACAATTGAAGAAAGAGACATTAGCAATGTTACCTCTCATAACTAGGTGGATGAGGTATTATAGTACTATTAAAAATGTCAACATTCGAAATTATTTTGCCACCTTTGATATTGATCTTGTACTTGCATCAAATTCAGGAAGGAAAATGAATAATGGTAGTACCATTATATGTAGTTGTAAACACGAATAAAAAAAAACTACACCCTCCGCTCCATTGGACTTTGCCAACTTTCCTTTTTTGTTTGTCCCAAAAATTTTGACACTTTCCCTTTAAAGCAATGAATTTGTGGTTCTGCTTATTTCTCTCTGCTCTGCACAAACCTCAACCAACAGTTTTTACTTTTTTTATTTCACACCCAACATAAAGTTGGCAAAGTCCCATGGGACAGAGGTAATATATTTTTTCACAGAAGGTTACACAAACGGTGATCAAACTATCCTCTAAATATCAGATTGAATAGTAAACTTAATTTGTATTTTATCTTATGTTGCATCTGGATCTCCATGTGGGCTTCATTTAATCATGATTCATGAGTATATGTTGTTTGCCATTCTTATCAATTAAACTTCAGTTATTTCAGCTAAATTTACCCTAATAAACGGCCTAGGATTTAAAAACAATGGGATTGTGAGGTTGTAACTTGTAATTGATTTAGAACTCCTTTTCTTTTGGGATTGTTATCCTTGTGTTGCCATTATAAGGCTTATTAGTTGGAATATTAATATTGCTTTAGAATATTTTAAAAAAGAAATTGTCCTAAATAGGAGTAAAAACAATATGGAATCCCAAAATAGGAGCATTATGTTTTTATTCCCTAAATAAGAGTAACTAATGTCATGCTTGAAAAATACTGTCCATTTAATTAAACATTGTAAGGATGTCAGGAAGTTAATCTGTCTAGAAACAAATAGTGTTCCTATTTTGGAATTTAATACCACCTCAGTCCCAAATATATATTTTTATTGGAAATTATTAATAATATAAAAAAGATATGAAAATGCTCCTTGCTAAAAGTACTTTCATAAAGTGTCAAATTTATAATTTTCATAATATTATGCTAATCAAAATCATGGTTCAAATTTTATAAAATGGCAAAGTTTTTTAGGACGGAGGTGGTATTGTTTTTAAATCTTGTGTACATTTGGTGGGACCACTTCACATTTCACTGTCCATAGTGTGAAGCCGAATAAATCTTAAGCGATGTCGCGGACTTCTGTTCCTTCGAATTCTGTCTGCCCTTGAATGAGATCTTGCAACATAGACTTGAACGAAAATATTATAGTGATTTGGGCTTCATCTTTACACCCAAAATAGATATGATACTCCGAAACCATTCAATAAGGACTATGTACTCACGTTTATGTTCTTGCATGCTGATTCTCGGTCCCTTTTCTTAGGCTTCAGGACACATTTGTTAATATCGCCAGTTTCTACATAACGCAGAACATCTCTTTTGGAGCGAAATTCATATCCACTGATGGGGTCTATATAACACTGTTAAAAGTCGAGATAAAGAAGAGAAATCAAGACGTAAAGGGGGTTCAAAATCATTAATCATTTGGAAAAGTTTTCCCTTGAAGAAATATAAGAGAATGTACCGGGTCCTTTCGTATCCCACTTGTCCTCTTTCTCATTTCTTTTATCCAACCCATTGGTAACCCATCCACTGAACCGTCCACTGCTGCAGGCTGCATATGTAATTCACTAATTTAAAATCATGAGCCTGTTTGGTTGGCTCAAATAGTCAAACGACTGAGTGGCTAAATCTGGTTTATTAGGCTGAAATATGCTATTGTGTGTGTGTCTAGCATATGTATGTATACATGTATAAATATGTGTATTAATATATTTATGCATGTTTGTATGTATGTATTTCTGCATGTATAAAAAGTTCTTGTCAAGCCTGCCTGACCAGAATTGCCGTCCGACTGCCTCCATTTGAGGTGCTTCCTAGTGAAGATTTTTTATGGAATTTTGTGAACATGTTTCTTCATGAAGTATAGATTATTTCCACCAAATTTCACTTTAAAATTCAATCGAGAAGTCAACAACAACATCCAAGCCTTAATCCCAAAAGATTTTGGGGTCAGCTAACATGAATCGATCAACGATATTGATGCCAAAAAAAGAAGACAAACAAGAAGAAGAAAAAAAGGATAAAATGAATAAGATAAACATAAATAAATATAAGATAACAATAACATAAGAAGGATAAAAGATTAAAAGATAAAAGAGCATAAAAAATCTAGAAGATAAAAATAACATAAGAACATGAAAAGACAAAGAAGATAAACGATAAAAGAAAAAAAGAGGAAAAAAAGAGAAGAGATCAATCATCCACACGAATGTCATACTCTCATCCAACCCATGAAGACGCATATCAGTTTTGATTCCTCTAATCCAAGTCTGTTTGGGTCTTCCCTTCCCTCCTCTCTCTGTCTCTTTTCCCCACCCCTCAAGTCGCCTAACAGGTGCATCACTCGCAAACGGGACTCCTGCATCTTATCTTTTATAGGTGTTACTCTCACCCTTTATCTGATTATCTCATTCCTCAAGCGGTCTTTTTTGGTATGTCCACACATCCAACGCAACATACACATCTCTGGCACACTCATCTTTTGAGTGTGACATTGTTTCACCGCCCAACACTCTACGTCATACATTAATGCGGGCCTAATTGTTCGATAAAATTTACCTTTCAATCTAGTCGGCATTACTCAATCGAATAGAAATCTTGATGCACTCTTCCATTTCATCCACCCAGCTCTGATTCTATGGGATACATCTTCATCTAATTCACCATCCTTCTGAATTATGGAGCCTACGTACCGAAACATATACGCACCGGTATCTCCTTACCATCAAGAGTAATCACATTGTTGTTACTACTTCTACCTCCACCAAACTTGCACTCCATATACTCAGTCTTGCTTCGGCTCAGTCTGAAACTCTTGGTCTCCAATGTTTGTCGTCATACTTTCAACTTTGCTTTAACACCCGATTGTGTCTCATCAATCAATACAATATCGTCGCAAACATCATGCACCACGATATATCTTCTTGAATTGACTTCGTAAGTTCATCCATGACTATAACAAATAAGAAAGGACTAAGAGCCGTAAAAGGGAACTCCGATAGTAATAAGGAACTCTGCGGTCCTCCCTACACTAGTACGGACACTCGTAGTACAAGCCTCGTACATATCCATGATGATACTGATATACTTACGTGATATGCTTTTTCCAATTAAGGCCCACCAAAGGACTTCTCGAGGTACCCTATCATATGCCTTTTCTAAGTCAATGAACACCAAATGCAGATCCTTTTTAGTGTCTCTATACTTCTCCACAACTTGTATAAGAAGGTGAATGGCCTCAGTTGTTGAGCGTCCAGGCATAAAACCAAACTGATTCTCCGAAATTTTCACACTTTTTCGAAGCCTTTGCTCAATCACACGCTCCCAAAGTTTCATGGTGTGACTCATCAGCTTAATCCCTCGATAGTTGGCACATTCTTGTACACCACCCTTATTTTTAAATAAGGGAATGAGAGTACTCTTCCGCTAACTCATTAGCATTTTGTTGTTTCTCCAAATCCTGTTGAAGGAACGTGTTAACCACTCAATGTCTTCCACTCCCAAACTTCTCCAAGCCTTAATCGATAAGCCATCTGGGCCCACTGCTTTCTTCCGTCCCATCTTTCTCATAGCCTCTTTAACTTCTGTTATTTGGATATTTCTCACGAAGTCCCGATTTACCATACATTCTGGTATATTAAGATCATCAATACCTTACAAAATATGACCTCCACCTCTCCTTTACTTCTCCGTCCTCCATTAGTACCCTTTGATCGACATCCTTCACACACTTCACTTTTCTGATATCTTGAGTCCTACGATCGCGAAGATGAGCAAATATGTAAATATCTTTTTCTCCATCCTTGGAGTCTAATTTTGCATACAACTCCTTGTTCACCTTTCCTCTTTGCTTCCTTTTACATCTTTCTTTGCTCTTCTTCTAGCCTCCTTGTACTCCTCTATGTTCTCGTCGCTCCAACTTTTGCCCAATTTCTTATAGCATTCACTTTTGGTCCTTATTGCTTGTTTCACCTCATCATTCCACACAGATGTGTTCTTTTTTTGGTGGTAGACATCCTTTAGATTCTCCAAGTATCTCTTTCGCCACTTTGTTAATGGTGGACTTCATTGATAACCACACATCATCCAAATGTGCGTTATTACCAATGGGCCATACATCTTCCTCCAACATTTTATGTGCAAAAATTTGTTACAGATTCCCCTCGAGCCTCCACCAATTTATCTTTGGCTCCCCTTGTACCTTAATCCGCCTTCTCTTTTTACCTTGAAAATCAAGCACGAGCATCCTATGTTGTGTGACAACACTCTCTGGGATAACCTTCTAATCAGTGTAGCTAGTTCTCCAAGTCGTCTGTACTAACAAATAATCAATTTGGGTACTATTAGCTCCACTTCTATAGGTCACAAGGTGAGAGTCTCTTTTCTTGAACCAAGTGTTCATCACAGCCAACTCATATGTCGAGGCAAAATATAGAATGTTCTTCCCCGCTTCATTTCTAGTGCCAAAACCATGTCCGCCATGGATACTCTCAAAACCATCACGACTTGGGCCCACATGTCCATTGAGGTCGCCTTCTATGACCAGCTTCTCCCCTCTTGGCACTCGTCGCACCACTTCCTCAAGATCCTCCCAAAATTGTCGAGTGATAGATGCATCCAATCTCACTTTGGTGCATAGGCACTTACCACGGACACGATCTCATCTCATATTATCGACTTAATGCTCATGATGCGGTCGTTCTTCCTGAAGACTTCCACCACACTCTCAACATAATCATGTGAAACCATAATGACTACTCTATATTTGTTCCTTTCTCTACCCGAATACCACAACTTAAAACCTTCGGGATTAATCTCACGTGCCTTTTCTCCAACCCACTTAGTTTCTTGCATGCACATTATGCTGACATTCCTCCTTTTGAAAACCACAGATGATCTTTCCGTAAGAGAGCCAACATTCCATGTCCCAAAACGCAATCTAGCACCCTACCAATTCTTCTTCACACCACATTGACTCCCACCATTATGCTCAATCGAGAAGTCAATTAAATCAATTAATGAAAAACACTGCATTATATATATATTTATATATTTTTTGGCGCAGTATTTAACTGACTTCCCGATTGAATTTTAAGGTGAAATTTTGAGAACATAATCTACATTTCATGAAGAACATGCTCACAAATGGAGGCGGCCGGACCGGATTATTCCTGTTTTGACCAGAATATTCATAAAAGAAAAGTTCAATTAATCAAGATATGTATTATTATCAATACAAGTGAAAATACGTAAATAAAATGCATCAACCTATCTCTTAATGTTTTTAAGTTACACGGAGTAAAACTTTATTGTTGTATATGTGTAAATAATTTTCAACTTGAGCTAATGTCTAACATTTATTATTTATATCACTTAATATCAATGTTCTAAAAATCGCTCCAGGCGTCTGACTAGTCCCTGCCTAGGCGCTAGGCGGTGACTGGGTGCCCCATTTTAGTTCAAGCGTCCCGACTAATTATTTTGGCGTCTAGGTGAATTGGTCGGCCGTCCAGGGCGCCTAGTTGCGCGCCCAGAGCGCTTAATCGGCCGTCTAGGCATCTAGATTCGTCGGACATTTTATTTTATTTTTTTATGTGAGTATTCTAAGAGATATATGTACTTTTAACTATAACAACGCATATGAAGAAAGCTATTAATTATGGATTAAGATAAAAACTATAAAGGTTTATACATAATGTTAAGTGTTATTATTATTTAATGGGAAAATAACTTTAAATAATACAAACTATACCAAAAATCATACGTACTTTAGAAATTACTTTTAATAATATCAACTATTTAAATATAGAACAAAAGTGATATAGAGCAAATTTTCAATGAAAATTTAGTTATTTAATTCATCAAAAGCTAGTATCAAAATATATCAAAATATCAAATAAGTGAATATATATCCAAATATAATTTATTTGATAATTTGCTATTATTTTCCATCATTTGCAATGGGTCAGAGATTCATTATTTTTTGGCTTGAGAATGTGATGGAATAAAGCAAAATGGCTCACTAAACTGTCTGCGCTTCTTTGTTATGAAGCAGCAGTCAGTCCATGCAATGTTAGACGCGATTTTCACTATGGGTCATCCGGAAACAGTCTCTTTGTGCTTTAGTACAGGGGTAAGACTGCGTACATCCGACCCCACCGTAGGTGGGAGCCTTTGCGGCACTGGGGTAAATGAAAATGATAATTTGCTATTACTTTTTGATGTTTTAAATGACTAAATTTCTTACCAAAAAGTGACTCCATGTTAGTTTTGGTCTATACTCAAATAGTTGGTATTATTAAAAATCATTTTCAAAGTATGTATTATTATTGGTTTATGGGTAATAGTTGGTATTATTTAAAGTTATTTTCCCTAATTTAATAATATTTATTACATAATGAAGTTAAGTGAGTATGTATAATATATTATTAAATGTGTTACTCTATCTTCATGCATGTTAATGTGTATGTGTGTGCATATATGTTTTATGCACACACAAACACAACATTACTAACAAGCTTGTCACGGCGTCGCCTAGGCGTCGCCTAGTCG